ATAGTGTATAATAAAATTATCGAAACAATCATACTACTACATATAATATATAAATAATTATCAAAATAATTCAATTATAAAATTACAATTAAATTAATGCAATTAATCTCGTATGTTGACATCATGAGACTAGTTTCATACTGTTGGGATATTCAAGTGTGATGAGACCTTCCATTTATATACTCTTCACTTAGCTCATTATCAATCAATGTGGGAATCATCACACTTGAATATCCCAACAATCTCCCCTCAAGTATGAAACCCACCATTGGTATGCTCCCCCTCAACCAAATACCCGAAGCACAAAGTACTTGACCCGCCTCCTATCCAATCACCAGGCTAGCTCGAGCACAACCCGACTCTGATACCACTGTCAAGCGGGTCCAGGGAAAAGCCCATGGCGGGGGGCCACCACCAATAAGCTAAGGCTACACCAACCGTAGCAAGTGAGTCCGACACTATGTCTCAACCCAAATCCTTAAGGCATTGGGTTCATGGGTCCTTCTACTTATATACTCTTCATTTAGCCCATTACCAACCAATGTGGGACTTATCACACTTGAATATCCCAACACATACGTTTATCATGTGAAACTTACGATTGTCATATGCTGGCAAGTTCAACATGATTGACATACAAGACTAATTTCGTATGATTAGCATAAGTGAGTTATTAGTTCAATCCTATGTAAGAGTCTCGCATAAAATACATGCGGGACTGGTCGCATATATTAATTTATGATACGCGACCAATTACCAGTGTGGCAGTTTTGCAATAGAAACCATAGTCTCATATATATATATATATATATATGGAAAATATTAGTCTCCTTTTACATGAGGTAGCTTATCTCATTTTCTCTCACTTCGATTTTCGTACCTCACTTTTTTTTTCTTTTTCTTTTTTCTTGTAATGGTGGGATCCACCTAGTTTCTCTCTACAACATAAGATACCTATCTTATGTAAAAGGAGATTAATAAAACCCTATTTATAAATAGAGAGAGTTTAAATTATCTTCTTTTATAGAAAACAACTATCTCATGTTAGTGAGACATAAAAAGTTGTGCCATTCTTTTTTTTTTTTTTTAAATGGTGAGACCCACATAACTTGTTTCTATGCATGAGATAAGTTATCTTCTATTGAAGGAGATTAATAAATCTCATATATATATATATATATATATATATATATATATATATATATATATATATATATTTTTTGCTAGATTAACTGTACTCAGAGGAAGATTATACTTACAATCTTTTTTTTTACAATCTCTTACAACCATACCTTAATATTGTTGATTTCTGTCAATCAACGGTTGATATTTATTGTGAATTAATAATTAATTAATGAGTTTAATTTGAGAAAATGATAACCGTTGATGACGGAAATCAACAGTGTTAAGATATGATTGTAAGAGGTTATAAAAAAAAAGTTGGTAAGTATAACCTTCCTCAATTTAATGATATCTTTAAAAAATAAATTATTTCAAAAAAATATTTTTCAGACTGCATTATTACATTCTTTGTGCCAGAGTGCTACTACAGAAGAAGAGTCTCATTTACTAAACCCAATAAAAAATAAAATTTAATATTCAATAGAATAAATATAATTAACTAAATTGTTTTTTTAGTTTAAATAAGTGATGTACTCCTGGTAATGACGATATTTATTACATGGGAATATACTTGTGAGATGAGCAAAACTCGTCACTCAGGGGTGTTTGGTATTAGGGTTGACAAAAAAGAATCAATCTATCAGGTTGGCTCGTAACCTGTAAACAATTAGTCGGGTTGAGTTGACAAAAATAAGCTATCAATTTGTGCCAACCCGACCCGAGCCAGCTCGAAAAAAAAATGAGACACCGTTGGTCAAACGAGCCAGTTCGCCGGTTGAGATTTTTAAAAAATAAAAATAAATACAAAACATAATATTCAAAAATGAAAAAAAAAACCCACACATGTTGTCATTATCTTTCTTCCTTCTTTAAATATAAGTCCCTACTCTTCTCACATCCATGCCATTTTTACATTGTTAGGCTCTGTTGACTCTGTTTGGTTCAAATATCTTACCGACTTGGTAGCTAGCAAGTGATTCTGATTGTTTCTTGATGTTAATGCAAATTAGTTGTGAAGAAAATTCAAAACTAGAATATGTTGTTTTTATTTCTCATTTTGTAACCTTTTGTTTAAGTTGACGGAAGCCACATAACTGATGCATTAATATTACAAGTTCATTTAAATAGATTGAAAATGAGCCAACCCGCAAATAATTTTTGAGCCAACCCGCGAGCTAACCCTAACTCGACTCGGGTCGGATTGGATTTTCTGGCTCATTTATTTTTCGAGCCAACCTTAACCTACCTCGTTTTTTTCGGGTTGCATGCGGGTTGGGTTAGGTCAAGCCGGGTTGACTTGTTTTGCCAACCCTATTTGGTATAGGAGATATATTTTTTTACCTTAAAAAAACATTTCAAGAAATATAGTGGAATTTTTTTCTCGGGTAAGTTACAAAAAAGTATTTGGTAGGTCCAATTTTTTTTGAGAATGTTGGATTAATTATACTGAAACTATAGAAAAATAAAAATACCATGTATCAGATGATATAATCGTTTGGGATTCTGCACTAAAATGATGAGAGAAAATTTTTTCCAAAAATATTTTCGATTTTCTCATGCCAAACATTGAAAAATAACTTGTCCCACCCTACTTTTTCAAGATTTTTAAAATAATCAACATTACAAACAGCCACATGGGGTTGAAGAAGTCCAATCCTCCCCTGCTAAAGTTCAAGAGCATACCTTCCAGGTCTTTTACATGATTGGATGAATATCCTTGTGGACGGTAATGGATGGAGAAAAACTTTAGTCCACAATTCGGTAGTCGCTTTTAGTAAAATGAGAAATTTTTAATAAAATTACGTCATTTTGATGTTTTTTTTTATAAAATTAAAAGAAAAAAGAAAGTGAAAGAAAAAAATGTAAAAATATACTAAAATAACGTAATTTTATTAAAAATAATATAAAATTATATCATTTAAAATAACATATGAAAAAAATATATATAAAATAAAATGAGAGAAATTTTTTTTTTCTCCTTTTTTATAAAAAGAAACATAGAGTTCGTTGATCCCATGCATTGAATTTTATTTTTTAATGGATGAAGATCCTTGTCACATAAGGATACGTACAAGCAGAAGTCAGTCAACTCGAGTGATACACACGGTGGAAGAAGCTGCACACTGTGGAAGAAATCCTAGTCTTCCCCGCGTGAGTTCAGAAGAGCGTCCCATGCAAGTCACAAGTAAGCCAGGTCATTTCGAAAGTTATTTACGATTTGATTAGTTGATATTTTAATTAGTTTACTTTAAGTTTAAGTTTTTATATGTTTGGCAGATTAGACGTAATAAGTTAATTTCGATTCATATTATTAGTATGTAATAATGATTAATATGATTATGTTTTTTTTATTAAATTTTCATTACAACAATCCTAAAATATTTTTCTATATTCTAAAGTTATGCAATTATGACTTATTTTTTATTCCCGTATATTGTTTTAACGTACAATTTCTTTAAAATATTTTATAGTCTAAATATTTAGTAATTTAAAATTTTCACTGTAATAGAAGATGTTTAATTATGATACATTTAAAAAATAGTAGAGGGATTGTGTAAAATTTAAAAAATAGCTGACGTTTTTTTCTCTCTAATAAACCAAAACTTGGTAATAAGTAATAATATCATCGTCAATTTTGTACAAGAAATAACATTTAATATGTAATAACTAAAACGCACCATTAGAAATTAATATGAATAATAATTATTTCTTTTGGGAAAGAATTTGCTCCTCTTGTTATAAATGGCAAAAAAATTAATTTATTGTTTTTTTAATAAAAAATACGAATAAGTACTCGTTTTGAAATTAATTACAAAAATATAGCAGTGAAACACGCCCCATGGGGACGTGACCAATTGGAGAGAGACACGCTCAATCTGGGCGTGACCGAGGAGAGAGACACGTCTCATCTGGGCGTGTTTCACCAGGTGCTGTCACGTGTCACAAAAGTCAACAGTTTAACCGTAAAACTTTGGAAGTCCATAACTTTTGACTCGGATATCTGAATTAGGTAATTTTTTATTGATTCCACATAACTTTTCAAGATCTACGAAATGACACCTCATTTGGCATATTTTGTCTCTCACAAAAAAAATTGAATTTACAATAATAATACCATAAGAACGTTTAAACTCAAATTAATAAGCAGATAACTACTGTTATGATTAGAAACATTCATAATAAATATCTGTATGATTATGGTAAGTTATGATAAGGTTAATTATGTATGTTATTGAGATATATATTAAAAATTTGAATGAAGAATTTTATGGAATTTAGAATTTTATTCGGTTAACATCTGTCGGTGACAGAATATCGAATAATTTATATTAAAAAGTTAAGAGTGCTTTTCGTTGTATTTTAATTTTTAAGTTTTTGTTCATGATTATAAAAATGTTAGATTATTTTTAGTAATAATTATAAGGTAACAAAGTCATGTCATTTTTAATAATTACGGTATCATTGTTGTAAATTCAATTTTTTTGTGAGAGACAAAATATGCCAAATAAGGTGTCGTTACGTAAATCTCGAAAAGTTACGTGGAATCAAAAAAAAAAATTATCTAATTCGGATACCCGAGTCAAAAGTTATGGACTTCTAAAATTTTACTATAAAATTATTGACTTTTGTGATACGTGGCAGCACCTGGTAAAACACGCCCAGACGGGACGTGTCTCTCTCTTCGGTCACGCCCAAATGGGACGTTTCTCTCTCCTCCGGTCGATTTTGTACGAGAAATAACATTTAATATGTAATACCTTATAAAACGCACCATTAGAAATTAATATGAATAATAATTATTTCTTTTGGGAAAGAATTTGCTCCTCTTGTTATAAATATTACGTTCCTGCTTCAAAAGAACAACGAACATCAAAGAGAAAGAGAAAGAGGAAAGTTCAAGTTTGTAAAGCGGAGACAATCTCCATATTTCATCAACATGGGGTGGTTTCTGTTGCCATATTTTATCCAATGTTTGTTGCTTCTTCTTTTTCCTTCCTACAGTTGCTCATTGTTGCCGTTGTGCAACCATGATGACAACTCTGCCTTGTTACAATTCAAGAACTCATTTGCTTTAGACACTTACCATCCATTTCCTTCTTCCTCTTCCTCTCTTTCTTCTTACAAGACAGCATCTTGGAAAAACGGTACAGATTGTTGCCAGTGGGATGGGATCACGTGCGATGCCATGTCAGGCCACGTGATTGGTCTCGACCTCAGTTGCAATAATCTTGTAGGTGAATTCCATCCCAATAGCACCATCTTCAAGCTCAAGCACCTTCAACAACTCAACCTAGCTTTTAATAACTTTTCTGGTTCTTCAATATATTCTGGAATTGGTGATCTTGTGAAACTCACACATCTCAATTTATCACACTCTTCACTCAGTGGTGATATTCCCTCCACAATCTCTCACTTGTCAAACTTAATATCACTTGATCTCAGCGACTACTCCCGGGAGATAAGTAAGAGAGTGGGTCCATCCACATGGAAGAAACTCATTCTTAATGCAACTCATTTAAGGGAGCTTGTTATGGATGGCGTAGACATGTCTTCAATCAGAGAGAGCTCTTTGTCATTGCTAATGAATTTGTCATCCTCTTTGGTCTCTCTTAGTCTTAGAGACACTGGATTGCAAGGGAATTTGCCAACTGACATCCTCTGCTTACCTTATCTTCAAGAACTGTGGTTGTCGGGTAATGAAAAGCTCAGAGGCCAGCTTCCAAAGTCCAACTGGAGTACTCATCTAAGGTACTTGGATCTCTCTTCCATCGCTTTCTCAGGAGAAATTCCCAGTTCCATAGGTCATTTGAAGTCTCTTAACACCCTAGGTCTTACGGGTTGCAATCTTCATGGATCGCTTCCTCTATCTTTGTGGAACCTCACTCAACTAACCTTTTTGAGCCTGCCATACAACAACCTTAACGGTGAGATCCCATCACTACTTTCAAATCTTAAACATCTCACTTCCTTTGATCTTCAATCTAATAATTTTACTGGTCACATCCCGGATGTGTTTGCCATGTTTATCAATTTAGAATTTTTTTCACTTTCCAGCAATAACCTGACAGGCCAAATTCCATCATCATTGTTTAATCTAACACAACTTTCTCACTTAGATTTGGCCAATAATAAATTAGTAGGCCCCATTCCTAGTAAAATCACTAAACTTTCAAAATTAAGTCTTCTAGCTTTGGCTTTTAACATGTTAAATGGAACAATTCCGCATTGGTGTTATTCTTTGCCTTTGTTGACAGAGTTAGATCTTAATGACAACCAGCTCACGGGGTCAATTAGTGAATTCTCAACTTATTCTTTGAAATATTTGTTTTTCTCCAATAACAAACTTCAAGGTAATTTTCCTAATTCAATATTTGATTTGGAAAATATTACCGACTTAGGTTTGTCATCAACTGAATTGAGTGGTCTTGTAGACTTCCACCGTTTTTCAAAGTTTAAAAATCTAATCTTCCTTGATCTTTCTCACAATAGTTTTCTCTCTATTAACTTTCATAGCAGTGTTGACTACTTCTTATCCAACATTGACGTTTTATATTTATCTTCCTGTAATATGAGCACTTTTCCTAAATTCTTAGAACGAGTTCAAAATCTGCAAGAATTAGATCTTTCTAATAACAAAATTCATGGAAAAATTCCCAAATGGTTTAATGAGAAGCTCTTACTCTCGTGGAAGGACATTCAATATATTGATCTCAGTTTCAACATGTTGCAAGGAGATCTTCCAATTCCACCGTATGGCATTCAGTTCTTTTCAGTCTCAAATAACAACTTGACGGGAGACATTTCTTCAACAATTTGCAATGCAAGCTCCCTCTATGTGCTCAACCTGGCTCACAACAACTTGTCAGGCATGATTCCACAATGCCTGGGAACATTTCCTTATCTTTCGGTGTTGGATTTGCAAATGAACAACCTTCACGGAAGAATACCTAGAAACTTTTCTAAGGGAAATGCGTTCCAGACTATAAAGTTGAATGGCAACCGACTGGAGGGACCATTACCAGAGTCTTTGGCCTACTGCACATTCCTTCAAGTTTTGGATCTTGGAGACAATAACATAGAAGATACATTTCCCAGTTGGCTTGAAACTCTGCAAGAGTTACAGGTACTTAGTTTACGGTCAAATAAACTTCATGGTGTCATCACTTGTTCCAGCACCAAGCATCCATTTCCCAAGTTGAGAATTTTTGATGTCTCCAATAACAAGTTTAGTGGTCCCTTGCCAGCATCATGCATCAAGAACTTTCAAAGAATGATGAATGTTAATGAAGGCCAAACTGGTTTGAAATATATGAACCCCAACACATTTTATAATGATTCAGTGGTCGTCATAATGAAAGGTCAGTATATGGAGCTAGTGAGGATATTAACTACTTTCACAACTATTGATCTGTCAAATAACATGTTTGAAGGAGAAATTCCAAGTGTTGTTGGAGAATTAAATTCTCTCAAAGGGCTTAACCTTTCACACAATGGAATCACCGGTACCATTCCACAATCTTTGAGTAATTTGAGAAATCTGGAATGGTTGGACCTCTCATGGAACCAGCTGACAGGTGAGATTCCCACGGATTTGACAAATTTGAATTTTCTCGAATTCTTGAACCTTTCACAAAACCAGTTTGAGGGAATCATACCTACAGGGAGACAGTTTAACACATTTGAAAATGATTCCTATGAAGGAAATCCACTGCTATGTGGATTGCCTCTGACAAAATCATGCAACAAGGATGAAGAATTGCCACCACACTCAACATTTGACCATGAAGAAGAATCAGGGTTTGGCTGGAAAGCCGTAGTAGTGGGATATGCATGTGGGATGGTATTTGGAATGCTCTTGGGATGTAATGTGTTTATCACTGGGAAACCTCAATGGCTTGCGAGACTTTTTGAAGGGATGCTTAATGAAAGATTGAAAAGGACAAACAACAGAGCCCGTGCAAATCGTGGAGGAAGAAATTAGTTTGATACGGTTTCTTTTTTAATGCATATATGCAGTTTTATGTAATTTTAACTTCTCTGCTTGAATAATGAGGTTTTATCTCTATTAATACCATTGAGTGATCTATTTCAAGTTGTCCTGCAAATACGAAAAATTAGTGATCATTTGCTTATGTTTTAAATTGTTGTAAATTTTCATAGTACTGACCTGCAAAGGCTTCAAGAAAAACTCACGCATTCAACCCTTCAATCATCACAAAATCAGGATTTTATTACTAACATTAGGTATACTATTCTGAAACAATTTATGTTTACGCAATCATCATAAAACAGAACCAAGAGTTTTACAATTTACTGACGAAGGTTCAGTATTTAGTCTTCCTACTCATGTATGGAACACATAAATATTTTCTGTAGACACTACAAAATTTTCTTTAGTTGAATTTTGCAATAGAGATATAATATAAAATTATTAAGTTTTACATAATTTTATCTTTCCGTAGATACTACAAAATACTTTGATCTAATGATGATATCTGGTACTGTGTGTTAGACGACTAGATTCTAATCTTATGTATCTGTATATGTAATCTTTATAGATTATCATGTTCTGCTAAGAAACCTGGCACACTTTCAAGTCTTAAGAGAGGGAATCCCTTCTGGCTTGATGAACCATTTTGTGCTACAGCACTTGTTAATTTATGTAGTTATGTTTGTTACTGATGAAAGTGGTTGTGTTCTTTTATTGTTCGTTGAGGAATAAAAGCTGTTTAAATTAAGATAAAATGAGTGTAACAGAGAAAAGGATCAAAAACCACAAAACCTCCAGCAAATATCCTCAAATCCATTCGTGGGAGACCACTCATTTTAAAAGTTGCATTCTGACATTAATCATCGAGGTTAGTCTCTATTTTTCATTGTAACATTGAACAACCTAGTTTCTGAAACATGAATAGATAATTTTGTCAAATTTAACAATGATATGGTTGGATTCACTCAATTTTCTGAAACATGAATAGATAACATTCGCATGCATTTTTTGGACGTATCAATCGCTGAGTGCTCTCCTTTTCATGCACGGTGCTAAATTTCCTTATCTAACACTTCAATTTTCATTATTTGGAGATGATGATGGCAGAACTTTATTAACCACCACTCAGCGTGAATGATGCGAGAATCGGGCAAAAGAATGCAGGCCATTGACTGCTGGATGAATTAATTTCCACATCTATGAAAATTTGAAAAGCTAAAGATCATAGTTCATAATTATTGACGAATATCCGCATTTGAGATCTCTAAAGTAATCGAGGAACAAAGTGGAAGAATAAGGCAGAGCACTTTATAGTTACTATACTGAATTTCTTTCCAAGTTCACATTTCCTTGTTGGCTTTACATTGTGAGATTGCACGCAGTTAAACACACGAAATGCCTAACTTTTTGCTACGTTCTTGTTGCGTCAATCCATAAACCTGCTGGGCTTCTTTGGTTTAATCTTATCAGGTTTTCTAGCGCGCCGAGATGCCTATATGTATATTCCAATGGAACAAACAGAGGAATATGTTAGCTAGCAACTGAAGAACAAATATCGCGACGCATTCATTCCATTCAATAATGTTAATGATTGAAGTATAATACGTGTGTCACAACATTTGATTGTTGGAATATTTGAAAATTATTTTCTATGATGCAGTGTTCTGTACATCAGTATCCCAAAGAGGACCCTGGCAGAAGGGGGTCGGCCTATTTAAAAAGAATATTTTGGAAACGTAAATACACTATATCCCAAAATATTAGGACTATTTCCTAATTCCCCATTAGGTTTACTTCAATTTCAGAGTAACTGAAGACTAATTATAGACTTGGATTAGAGTTGTTGCAAGGTTAAAATACGCTCACTTGGGCCCATGCGTTTACGTTTCGAGTCATTGATGCATATTTCATGGCTCCTACGTAACAAAAGGGGAACAGAGAAATTGAACTTAAAGATGCATATGGCTGAAGCTGAAGTACAGGATGCAAGCCATCCCGGATAACGTTTCAGTAGTTTCCTGGAATAGTAACATACTGGCAGCACCCATAAGAGTATTACGTGCTCATCCAGTAGACAAATTTGAGCCCAGACCCATTACAAACGGGGATATGATGAGCAAATATACAAGAGCGCATTTTCATCTCTCCATTGCAATTGTGCCCATGCGAGTAAAAAGGCAGGGTCGTGCCTAGTCATGCTCCAGGCATATTCAACACAATGTACAACCCTCTTGCTGCACTACTAAACATATCGCTATAAAAATATGAAATCAAATTCCAATTTCTATGCTCAATTCCATTCCCGTTAAGTAGTTATGTGACAAATCAAGGAACAAATCCGAAAAAGTAAAGGCCTAATTAATTAACCATATTAGCAACTTCAGAGTGTGACAGCGTGACCATCATCCCAGAATATTCTGCAACAATTTTAACTGCTAAATCCCTTTATTCGAAGGATTACACTGCTTAGCACATTTGACTGATCTTCTTCAAGAAGTATCCAAATTCAGAAGTTTTGGAAGACACCAAAATTTTCCAAAATGTAACACTTGGTCTAACCTCTTCAAATTTATTGCAGCTCTAACAAAATATAACATGTCAAATAACGTATTATTTTCAATTTTTTCTGTAATATTCTTCAGTAACATATCCATATCAGCCTCTGGCTTAATCACATAAGAAGCCAATAATACCTTCGTGGTGTTTATGGTCCACATGCGCAGTTCATGCAGCCAACTGTCCCATCCACCATAGAAAAACACTTCCAAGCTGTCTCATCAACGACTCTAATCTTTTCTATTATAACATCCAGAGGGTTAGGCAGCATACTAAAAATTTGTCCTTATGATGAGAAAATTATGCATTCTCAGTTTCACGCAAACAAAAACTGAAAGAAAATATTAAACTTTCTAAGAATACAACTTAAACCCAGTTTGGTATTGCCTTCATAAGCGCTTCAACTTTGCACTAAGAAAAAGTAACTGTTTTCGAAATGATTTGGATAGACATTTTGGCCAAAGCAACATATTTCGGAGTCATGTTTTTACCAAAAATATTAACTTCATCAATGCCACAGCTAAATCAAATTGGGCTTTTTTCCAGTAAGATTATACGTCAAAAAACAATAAATTTGAAATCCTATGCGAAATTGGGAAGCCCAACTTGGTAATACACCAAGAAGAATATATTCAGAAACCAATTAAAAGCCTCCGCAAGTCAAAAGAAGGCAAGTTCCCGAACTTAACTTCCCCCCAACAGTCTATAGCAAAAGAAAAGATCATACCCATGGATAACTCCAACGATGATAACACCACCAGATCCATCTGATCTTCTGACATTCACTCCAAACCAGGGTACACTTGTATACAGTTAGAGTAACCCACCCACCAAGTGTGGCCAGCTCTTGCATTGGAAGTGAAAGGAAGGATCCAAGCTCCATCATTGGATGCAGCTGACAGAAGTTATGAATAGATTCTAGCATTTGTTTTGTGGCAAGGACCTACGCGTCTGGCAAGCCAACCCCTCAGGCAAATAAAATATGGTGTGACGTGTTATATCTAGATCAGTCCTCAATATGTAACAAAGTTATACAGAAAATAACTCCACTAATTATAAGAAAACACAAAATTGCAAGCAGAAAATGGGAAAACAAACTATTTTACACCTAAAAATCTTGGGCCTCACTTTGAGAATGGAAAGAAAAAAGATTACAGGAGTCAGATGGATATTGATTCAGTTCAACAACTGTTCCATCCCTCATTGAGGAAGGAGAAAGAATATTGATTTTATTGATTCAGTCCAAACATCACGAACATGATCTTTGAATATAGAAAATTGCACTGAAGGACAAAATAGCATGTCGGAATAACAAACCTTGGAATAGAAAAACCTTGTTTAATGAGTCCCTGTCATACTCTATCCACTCTCAATCCCCCACCAAAAATTACAGAGAAAAGAAAAACAGAGTTTGCGAAAAGTATCCGGGAGAAACCAATGACATTCAAATGATATAAAGGAATTAAAATGTAAATAATCTCTATCATACTCTACGCATAAAAAATAGCTATTGCATTGTCACCAACTCCCGTAATATAATACCATTTTTGGATAAGATAATATATCTGAAAAAGATGAATAGTTCTCACAAATCATAGCTGAACGCCACATACATAAGTAAAATATATAACTTACACTTAAAGGTACCAGTCATGCTTTACGAAGCTAAACAACAATGATAAAACAGAATCAAAAGTTCAAGAAAAAAGGTCCACAACACACATGAAAATTATTGTAACAAGGTTTTCTCTGCCCCAAAATTCAACCCATTCCTCCAAATTCCTCAAAGGAACAAGAGGTACTACATATTTTTTAAAAAAGGTAGGGGAAATCTACTAAGAAAGAAAATACAGGTTTCAGAATCTGGTTCTTTAGTATTCAAATAGTAGCAACAAATTACAAATTTAAAAGATGCATTTGAATAGTGCCCGGTACTTCAGAAGAATCAGCGGAGTCCAAAACTAAATGATTGATGCATCTATGAGGGTATCTGCACAATGAATACATAAAGCATAAAAGGACTAATTTTAAAAACCAATTATCTTTAGAAGAAACACAAATACAAGTATGAAATGTAAAAAGTCATACCTCTTGTACTGCAAAATAGATTTTCAAGAGTTATAGTTGTTTCAAACTACAATGCCAATCATGATAATAGTTTGTTTAATAAAAACAGCGGAACGCAATAAAAAATCAGGTATGGGCAACACATGGTAAAAGAGTTAAATGCAAGCTTTGGAATGCTCTCACTGAATAAATCCAGAAGCTTGACGGGAATAGAACTTAAAACAAAGAGAACTTATAATATGAATTCAAATTTCCTTCTTTTACAAAATAAAATTAATTATTCAATTTCAAATAATTCATTACAATTTAACAATGGGCGAGAATGCAGTCCTAATAAAATGACACAACAGGCTGAGCATATTGTAGCAGCACTAGCCTAATCAAACAAGAAATAACTTATCAAATTGGGAATGGGTCCTCTCATGTCTCATTTGACCTGACTAGGTCATGTGAGACGATCTCGTTCGTCCATAGACAAATCAACAATTACCATTTTTTCTCTCTTTGTCTTAACGCTTTCTTGCTCTAATCTCTCGTCACCATTGACTTGTTTATGCACAACAGAAATCATCTCACATGACCTAGCCATGTTAAATGAGACATGAGAGGAGTCATTCCATATCAAACTGGAAAATAATAAGTTTACCCATGCTCATTCATCATGTGATAACTGCAAAACAAAAAAAAAAAAACTGTTTATGGACATAAGAGCATTTAAACACAGTTCAGATCCATCCTGAGTTAGAAAGCATATATTCATCAATCTCAATGCAAGCAAGCACACTTGGCATATTACTTGAACTAATCCATCTGCAATGCCTGGTTCCTTCACATTATAATGGATTGTAAGACCTAATGGTTTATGATTTTTAGTCCTCATCTAGTATATATTAATATTAATACCTCCAATTTATGTATTTCCTTATTCTCAACAAGGAACCTTCACATTCAACAGTCTCATGTTACACCACCCGAAAACTTTTCAACATATAACCTTAGAAATCACATGAATTGTTATAGATTCAGCAGCATACGGATTAAGAAAAAGCAAAAGATATCAGCCACTGACCTAATGACCCATGTAAGGAGGGCCAGCACCAGGGTGAGGTCTAACACCACTACTCTGGCCCATTTGAGGATTTTGGTACCCCGGTTGCATCCCTGGTTGGTTCCCATAGCTCATAGCAGCCTGATTACCATATGCAGCAGGTGGCCTGGCCTGGTTCACTGGTGCACCACCAAGACCTCCAAGAAGATTCCCAAGCCCCAAGCCAGCTCCTTGATTTGCAAGCAAAGCAGTTAATGCCTGTCCAAGCGCCGGATTCAACCCCTGAGCTGGAACTCCTGGATTGAAACCCCCAACAGCAGGGGCTGACGGCGCCATTAGGTGACCACCACCACCATGTGACGGCCCACCACCAGAGGAATACTTGTTCTTGTCCTTCCTTGACTGGTAGTGAGTCTGATGGTGATGATGAGAGTGGTGTGGCTGGTGGTGCTGTTGCTGATGATACCCTTTGTTTCCCTTAGGACCATCTACAGCCTTCTGACAATATAAAACGTGCCCCTCAAAATTCTTGTGCGGCTCTTCCAAAGCCTTCTTAGAAGACTCCACGGACTTGTACACAAAGAGTGCAAATCCCTTCGGCCTCCCGGTCTGTTTGTCAAGACCCAGAGGACCATCCTCCACCTCTCCAAATTGCCTGAAGAACTCAAGCAGCTTTTGGGGATCAATCTCTGCACTCACATTGCTCACAAAGATCTTCCTCTGGGTGTATTCAGAAACAGCAGGAACCGTAGGTGGCGGTGCCGGAACAGGTCCGGCGGAGGCCAACTGACATGAGGTGGTTCTGTTCCCAATCTTCTTCTGGGGCTGCTTCAGCGCTTTACGAGCCCCACTCCTATGCTTGAACAAGATGAAGGCATAGCCCTTCGATTTCCCAGACACCTTATCGGTAACGGCCTTGCAGTCTTCGATCTCGCCGTACTTCCCAAACACGCTGGTAAGGGTTTCGGCTGTGGTGTCCCAACCGAGGCCGTGGATGAAGATTTTCCGGTGAGCGGGGTCAACATCGGCCAGCTGACGAACATTCTCCACGAAATCCGGGTACTTCTCAACGGCTTGATTCACCAGAGAGTGCAGCTGCTCCTTCGTGAAAGGTTCCAGAAGCTTCTCGACGGGCTCGTCCTCCAATCCGAGGTCTTCTTCTTCGTTCCCACCATCCTCAGCGCCGTTCGCCTCAACCCCAACGGATTCCGATGTCGCAGCATGGTTCAAAGCTTCTGCGTCTTCCTGCTCTTGTTCTTCTAGGTTTTCGTGTTCTTGTTGTGGTTGTTCTCCTTCTTGTTCATCTTCCGGCTCTTCTTCTGGTTCTCCTTCGGCGTTTGCATCATCATCTTGCGGTTGTTCCTGTTCCTGTAGCGGCGCGTGGTCTTCATCGACGGCCATATTGTGGTTGTCTTCTTCTACTGGGGTTGGTTCAGGGTTGGGTTGTTGGTCCGCTTCCACTACCTCTTGGTCCTGTTCCTGTGAGGGTTGTGGCTCGACCTGCTTGGTGGGCTCGGGGTCGGAGGATCGAAGCTTTCGCTTCTTGGCCATGGCGTTGAGATAGAAACGAAGCTAGGGTTAGGGTTTGCACAGAGAGAGAGAAATTAGGGGAAATTGGTGTCGTATATCTGAACTTGTATTATGATGCTGAGTGCTGAGTAAGCTATTCCACTGCCACTGCATTCCACTGCCGTGTTATGTCATGTGTATATCTTCTTGGGCCGAGACGGGTCAGGCCTATCATGAGAGAAAGATTCTTATGAGGCCAACTTTAGTGAGAATACTAGAAAAATTCACTGCTTCCGTAATCACCCACCGTTGGATTAATATTTTCTTTTTTTTGAATTTTTTTTAAATATTTTATCTTTTTGATCCAATGATAATTATGAAGATAATGGATTGATAGTAAATATTTTTGGTAGTAAAAATATATCCTCTCTATTTTTAATTGGGCTTAAAATTGTTGTGCAGAATCAACTAGGCCTCTGTATGAGAAGTTGGTATCCATATACAAAGTGTGTTTGATTTCTACTAATTTAATATCAAAATATATATTTTTAGGGGTCACTTTGTTATTATAATAATACAAATAATGTATTTATAACATTTAATATAAGCTTCGTATTTTAGTTTATAAATTTGTAATTTATAACAAAAAGGTTATAATTTTTTTTAATTAAAAATTACAAATAATAGCGTGTCGCGATAATAGGGAAGTGAACCAATATTATGGAATTAACGAGAATCAATAAGAGAGGCAAAAACATCGCTATCAGAATTGTACGAGTCTTGAATATGTTTTCTACATAATCAGACACAAGGAACAAGAAACAAAATCCAAGGTTGCTGTCAAAATCCGGAATCACTCCCCATAACCCATTAATTCAACGTAGTACAAGTTTGCAACTAGCGATTATCTATGTGTTCTGTGTTTCCCTTTCACTTGACTTGATCAATTGTTCCCTTGGGAGTTTGATTGAGGACACCCCACAAAAAAAAATGCATACTTGGATGGGTTTCCTCGTGTAACATCTGCAGCTTCCGTGCCCGCCATCATAGGAGCTTTGTTTTCCCTGGTTTCGTTTCAGATCCTATTTCTTTTCCTTCAGGTAATTAATCATCCCTCTTTTGTTTTGTATGGACGGATGAGTTATCAAATTCTGCCTGGATTTTCTGTTTGCATCTCTGATCTTTGTCTGATTATGATTTTAATAAATGGGGTTGGTCATGATTTGGACAAGTGAGAAAATTGGAAAATTGGAATACATATGTCAATGTCAGTACTTATTTAATGTGCACAACTTGGGGCATGCCATTTCTCTTTCAGGAACTCACTAAGGATGGAGTGTTAGGTTTCTAGAAAAGCATGGGAATTTGTTTTGTAAAAGAAGACTCTAGTACATGATTTTTTTTTTTTGGGAAGTAATTTACAGGGCTTCTACTTCAGTGATCAGTGATTTTGATAAAGCTGTAGTTGTGATGACAGGTTTTGGGTTGAAAGTGTGTTGAATGGGGATTCAGACAATGGGTTCTCAAAGTAATGGGCAGCAGTCTCATTTACATCATTCTCAGTTAGCTAAGCAAAACTCGTGGTATGGTTTCACTCTTGATGAGGTTAAAAGTCTACTAGGAGACATGGGGAAGCCATTGGGGAGCATGAACCTTGATGAGCTTCTTCAAAATGTATGGACTGCTGAAGCAAACAAAATCGTAGGGATAGAGAATGAGCAGGTGTCATCATCATCATCATCTTCTCTTCAACGCCAGGCTAGTCTGACCTTGGCTCGTGCTTTGAGTGGGAAGACAGTTGATGATGTATGGAGAGAAATCCAACAAGGCCAGAAGAAACGATACGGAGACGATGTAAATATTCAGGATAGAGAAATGACTCTTGGCAAAACAACATTGGAGGACTTCTTAGTACAGGCAGGGCTTTTTGCTGAAGCTTCTATAAGTCCAACTGTGGTGTTGGATGCAATGGACGCCACCACCCCTCAAAGTTTTCAACAAAAAACAGGCTTGTCACCCTCCCCTTCAATTAGCAGTTTATCAGACACTAGACCAGGTCGCAAAAGGGATGATCCAGATGCATATGAAAAGGCTCTGGAAAGGAGGCTGAGGAGGAAAATCAAGAATAGGGAATCTGCTGCACGTTCAAGGGCAAGAAAACAGGTTTAATATTTACTTATTATTTAAGCTAATAAGCTTTAGGAAGTTAATTGCATTGACCCCCCGGTCCCCTTTTCTTTTGCCTAGTGGGAATAAATTTTTTTTTTTTGTCACTTATTAATATGTCTGGTGGTGCAGGCTTACCATAATGAACTGGTTAGCAAGGTTTCTCGACTAGAACAAGAAAATATAACGCTCAAGAAAGAGAAGGTGCAGTAAGTTGTTCATGTTTTGTTTTTCCCTCACTGTTAGCTGTTTGTTGTGTTTATGGTATGTCTTGAGACTGTTAAATTTTCTTTTCGGAGAAGCTCTATTTTGTAATTTGCTTTGAGTGAATTTTGCAGCTCAAGCTAGTTTAGCTGTCTTGGTGAACTTTCACATCCTTGTGAAGGTGGACAACTTTAAATGCCTAAAAGTTATTGGAATCCTAATAGTTGGATTAAGTAGAAAGAGATTTAGTGTATGAATATAATGTCTCATCCCTTTTAAGAAATCAGAACTGCCGTGTGAAATTATTTATTTATTTATTTGTTAGAAAAAGAACTATTATTATAGAGAAGGGAAGTAAATACGTCGGGGGTGAGGATAAGGTATTCTCAAGAACTGGAAAAAGTCAAAACAATAAAGTGTGATAGAAAGAAAACCAAAGGACAAGGAAACTAGGAATGAATCAGGAAAGTCCAATCCTATTGAAAATCTGAGACATCAAAACCCCTAAAACAACCATGGGCTGAGCAGCAGAGTGAAGCTAAGAACATAACCCCATTCCAAAGCAAATTGAGTGGTACAAGATGCCCTTAAAGATGTTGTATTCTGCTCCAGCAATATGCACAAAAAATAGCAAAGAAAGTGCACTGCTACAAAGTTTAGCCTCCTTAATCTTTTAAAAACCTTTAAGATGTACCACTAAGAGAACTACTCGAAGGTAGAGGGGCACATTCCATGGTCTAGGGTGAGATGATATTTTTATACCCTGCCAAGTGAGTGAGTGTGTTAACTTTCTACCACTGGGAAAAACAGAAACACAGGAAATTCTTTACAGCAACATAACTAGTATGAGTGAACTTTTCTAAGCGTAATAATATTGAAACTAAACCTTTGTGTACGATGCATAGAAAAAAATTTCCCCCTTATTGTAAATACAGTTCTTGTATACACAAACAAATCCCTTTTTCTGCATATTTTTTGCAGAATAATATGATATTTTCCCAGTATTCCTTCTCGTTTTAGGTTTGGTTATTTCCATAATGCTTTTTTGCTATATTACATCACTTTATCGCTTGTTTTTATATATTTAATGTTGATAAAATTTTCTGATGTTATGTTTTGTTTTATGTTAGCATTTAGCACCTTGTGCTTGAATCCAGTTTGAGTCTTGCATTCTGTAAAGGACTAATTACTTTAGAGGCTGGGCATGTTTGTCTTGACAAGTTTTATATAAAAAAAAATGTTTGTCTTGACCATCGGCTTTGGTAAATCTGAGATTTGAGGTCGCGTGTTATAAAGTTATGATCTGTATCCTTTGTACCCGCCGTTCAATCCTAGGCTTCCTTGTTTTGTTTATAGAATTTAGAATCTGTCCTTCTATGATGCTTCTCCACACATCTTGGATATTGCTATGACCTAGAGGAATTCATTTGTCATTCAACTTGGATACACTGCAAAGAAAAGGCGTGTATAAAGTAAAATGTATTTTTAACTTATGATCTAACAAATATCTGTAGTGTACCTTCAAATGTATATTATTGGTTTTAATTTATCTCTGTTTCTCGTCTTTGGCCTAGTCAAATAGGTTTATATGAACGGTCTTTGTTTCATAATTCGGTGTTAATATAACTAATTAGTATTATAATGGTGCTGCAATATAATAATGCTATCTACAATGTATTGTGTTGGAGTGCGACATAAGAATTCCTGCAATTTTATGTTTCTTTGGTGCTTAATATTATCTTATGAAAATTTTTGTTATATGTGATGGTATTTCTTTTATAATATATTTACATCCTTGCATCGGGGATAGTTTCAATATATTGTTACACATATATAAGAAAAACAATTCCCTTGTTTCATATATAGTTACGCATTTGCTATATTTGGTACTACTCTGAATATTGATTCCACTTATGGACTGCCACAAGACTCTTTGTTTCCAAAGAAATATAACTGCCTTTTTCCATTCCTTCCACACCTGTATCTCTGTGATTAGCTGCATTCAAATCATTGTTAGTGTGCTTCTGCTCTTATTGATTTTATGACAAAATCATTGTACTATAATATTTTAACTGGGATGATGATTGACGAATCATTTTATTAAGTGTTTTTTGAAGGCAGAAATCACGACTGGCAATTATTGAAGTTTAATGCATATCTACCAGTCTTTGTTAATCATAGCAATATGATTTTAGTAGAACCACATCACGCTGCAACTGCAAATTCCTGATTATATTGTGGATTCTTTCCCTTTTATAGGAGTTTGAGCAGAAACTACCATCTGAATCATCACCTGAACCAAAATATCAGCTTCGAAGAATAAATTCCGCTTCCTTTTGACATGGACCTGCACTGAAGTTTTCTTATTCCCTATGTTCTTGGTTTTATGTGGAAGTGTCCTGGATAAAGATTTTATCACTTCGTTACACAGTGCTGCTTAGGGGTGTGCTTTTTCTCCAATAGGAGTTTGTTAAATCTATCTTTATAATTAACTAACTAAAGGGTACATATTAGTTAAGGTTTGATGTTATAAGCTTCAGCTGCTTTGCTGGGAAACAATATCAGGGAAGCTTTGAGTCTAGTGGTGGAAGGGTTGCCTTTTTGTGTAAAGTGAGGTAATCATTGGGGGAATCAAATTCTTGAAAGGTGACTAACTTCCAAAAGAACTGAATATAGGTAGGTCTTATTAGCATTTATAAAACTGCGGGATTGTAATAGACTTAAGTTATATGGTTCAGTTATGGATAATTGGTGTGCTAGATTTTCCAGAAAATTTAAACAGCAAAATCAAAATTAGTTTATGAGAATGTTTTCTATGGAAGCTTCCCAGCATTACCACATGATTGTTATAGTTTTCCCATTCACCTTTAATTTTGCTCTATTTGTGTATTGGGAAACATGGGAAACCTTGTTCTTATTTTTCTTTCCTCCTTTCTGGCTGGTCTTTATGCTTAGTATCTTTCATAGTGAGCTGTGTGAGACTGCTGAAGGAGTCTAAGGACACTGAGGAACAGAAAAGGCTCAAATCTTCAAGGAGCAAGGGGATCAAATTGTCAGAGAATGATTGATATGTTGTATTGGGCTTCAATAATGGTTTATTATTTGTTAACCAGACATAAATGTTCTGGAAGTTTTAATCCCCTTGACATTTACACCTTGAAATTATACTCACATAAATTTTAGTTCCCTAATTTTTATGATTTACTGGAGAGTTAGTTCTAAATATGTTTGACTCTTCCAATATATTTAATATAAAAGATGTTTTAAATCATTCTAAGTAAAATATTTCAGCAAAGGTTAATCTCTTTAATAAATAAGTTGAATTATAAAACTTTTTATGGCTTCATTTTAGCGGTAGAATCATGTTTAGAGGTTAAGAGAGCACTAGTAATTATGAAAACTTTATCATATAAATTGATCAAAAAATCATCTTAAGAAATTATTTTTCTTTTGAGAAATATATTGATAATTTATATCAATATGCTGTATTATAAAATTACAATTAGTATGCTATTGTTTTATCAATTTATTTAAATGATTATAATTATTGCGCCTAAATTTTTTAACAAAATTAGATTAAATCTCAACTGCGTATGAGTATAATTCCTGAAGAATATATAAGAATTACTCCAATAAATAAGAGTTTCTTGCCCCTTACTTGGGGAATTTATAATTTTTAACACTTTTTACTGCACTCAGTGGTTTTGATATCTGACAATGAGCCTTACACACGGGCCAATTCTCATTCACATAAATATATGGGACATTGATTGTACTGTCTTCTTTTTTAGAATAATATACTTGAATATCACGAAGTGTAATTTTTTTTTTCAAATTGTCACGGCACCACAGTCGCCGAGTTCTTAGCTACTATGAACGGGACACGTGTCACTTTTGCAGTAGCTGAAAAAACTTTGCAGGCTTGGTTGGTGCTGATTGCGTACGTGTTAATGAAATGGGCATAAGGACACCAAAGTAGCTTCCCTCTTTAGCTACTTTGGTCCTGCAAAATTTCTTTTCACCTCAACGTGTAGGCCAAATTAGCTTCCTTACCGAGCGAATTTGATTTATAGGTATAGGGTTTATTTTTGTGCAAAGTTAGCTACTTTGGTGCAATGAGGAAATAGTACGTAGCCGGTCCATAGTAGCTGAGTACCTCAGCGACTATGATGCCGTGGCGATTTGGTGTATTTTTTCAAAAGTGTGACATTCTGATATACTATATATATTTTTGTGATAGTACGGTCAATATCCCTAAATATATTGAGTTAGGCTTAACTTCAGTTCACCTCCCTTCTAATATTAATATTATCGTTATAAAACTTAAACTTACTCATTTAACAAACAAGTGAAGATTTTTAATTAAAATTAATTTATTGGTGAAGATAACTTAAGAGAGTTATTAACCAATAAAGTGCATGTATGGATGATTTTTTTTTAAAAAAAATTATAGTATTATTTTTTCTAGAAGAACTTTTTTAAAAGTTAAAGTTATTTTATATTTGAATGTAATAACTGAAAAATATTTTTAAATAAAAAATTATTTAATGTTAAGTTTAAAATGTATTTTTATGTATAAAATTACTAAAAATGACATTAAAAATACATCACGTAAGCAATATTTAAGGTTGGGGTAATAATAATAATAATAATAATAATAAAAGCAAGATTTGGTGGTGATGGCACTAGCGACAGTAGCAATAGGATTGGTTGAGATAGAGGCAAATTTAAATTTTGAGAAAAATATTTGGCTTTTATTTCTGCATTATTTTAAAAACATAAATTGTAGCTTTAAAAAAATAATAATTATTATTATTATTTTTGGCTTTTTCCTTGCATTTGATGTACAATTAGGAACAATACAACACGACTGGGTGAGGTATAACATAACTTTTTGTTCGGATTAATTTTGATAATTGATGGACATCACAAGTAATTTTGTGTTGCATGTTGTTGTTTTTTTTTTTTTTGGTAATCTGTGTTGCATGTTGTTTAATACATATATTATTGGACATATTAACATAAACTATACTATGATACCTTTATGTTGTAAATTATTTATTTTGCATTAAAAATATATTGGATAATATTTTAGTATTATTTAATTATTTTCAAACTTTAGATTTATTGTTAATTTATTATTATGTGATCTCTTTTTAATTAATTTTAATATTTCTCACAAGATTATAAATAAAAATTATATTTTGAATTGCAGTATAAAATATTATGTTCTCCTTCCATTAAAATGATGACACATGGCTTTTTTTTTTTTCTCCCCTATACACATATCACATTTTCTCTTTTCGATTTTGATTGGCTAGCCCCACTGAACAAATGGTACTCATGGAACACCTTAATAATTCTGAATGGTTTGTTTATTCTGTCAAGTAAATAAATTTTAAAAATATAATATTTTTTCAATAAGGTATTTTCATTTGTAATGCTATTTAATAAATTCAATTTCTGAACAAAAATTTTTTTATTTAAATTGTTTTAATAGTATCACAAGTCATAATGAAATAGTTATTATTAAACTTGCTCTAAAATAGTTTATCATTTTTTTGATTTTTCATTCCCTTCTTTGATTTTTATGTCTAAAACCATTCATTTTTTATTTATTTTTTTGTTAATAACAATTGAGAGTTGAGGTGAGGTTGGAGAAGTTGCAGTGGAGGCGTTAGCTATGTGTCCTGGTCTTTGAGAAACTCCAAGGAGAGTTAGCGCACAATCAGATTTGAGTCTTTAGGGATGGAGGGTTCCGGTGAGAAGTGTTTGGTTATGAAGAGTGAAGGTGTATCTAAAAACAAAGATATGTGCAATTCGGATTCAATCCAACATTAAACCAAAAGTTTGTGCCTTATGCAATGTTTTTGTTGTTTTACCAAGTACTCATCAAGAGCTGAATTCACACGTTGTGATGGGAAATGCGTCAATGTGTTCTACGATCGGATGCGATAGGTGTTGGGTGGAGAGAGTAATTTTTACTTTATATGTTTGATGTTGTGGGATAAAAAGTTATCCATAATAATTTAAGGGAGTTTAATGTTCTAAGAGAAAAAATTATCTCTTACTTATATATAAAAATACGTGGAGTTTATATTTTCTTTTCTTTTTTTCATATGGACTTCACACACTTTTATATGTATTAGCGATAATTTTATCTCCTATGACATAAGAAACATCAAACCTTAATTTGGAAGACAATAAATATTTTCAATTTCATTGGGTGATTTATTCATATTTTTGTTGTCTCGTGATTATTTTTAGGGGTTTAAATCCCTCATATTATAAAATAGGATGTGGTTTCCTACAAACATAATATCATGTGAGACCTACTGTCTTAATTAATAATAATAAAAAGCCCAACACATTTTTTTATAAGTCAAGAGAACATAGTTTTTATTTTCCTGTAACATGACAAATGGAACCCACTTTGTTTTCTTTTTCTTTTTGAGTGAGACCCACATCAAATGTATTAAAGTAACGTGACACTAAAAGTGTCTTATAACATGACATATATAAAATCCTATTTTTAAAGTGAATTAAACTTTTTTTAAGGCAACATCCAAACACTTAAAAAAATGAAAAGCAGTTTTTACTTTTTATTTTTTTTAAAACTCATCCAAAGCAACTCTGTCATAAATCATAATAGTTATCAGCTAATCTAATTCACTTCAAAACCTAGCAGTAATAGACCCCAGAAATTTTATTTATGTCTATATATTTAGGGATGGAGGTTCGGGACAATGTCCTCGAATTTTTTTTTTAAAGAAAGTTTTAAATGTATTACAAAACAAAAGAATATAAACAAAAAATGAAAAGAAAACTTGAACTTATTACAAAAATAAAGTTCCTTTTGGATCCTCAACAAAATTTACAGGACCCAATTTAATCTCGTAGGAAAAAAATTGACTCGTGATTCCTCTGAATTTCAAAATAGACCTATGTTAGTCTTTTTGAGGGATTAATGTAGGTCTTCTTTGAATTTTAGAGGTACCACAATTTCGATTAACCGGATCTATTTTGGAATTCAGAGGACCGAGAGTCAACTTTTTTTTTTCTAAGAGTTTAAATTGGACCATGTAATTTTTGTAAGACTCAAAAATATTTTATTTTATTTTCTAAAAATTTATGTGTACACTAACACATACTTGCAACGAGGAGGAAAAAAACATTAGAAGGAGAGAAATTAAAGGTGTAGGATATTGTAACAACCAACTAGGGTTACTACCAATCAATTTCACCGTTAGATCGATTAGTTGATCCAACGGTTATATTTATTTTCATCTTTATAGGGTTATGATCCCCATATTTAATGTAAAAGCATTAAATATAGAAAATCATAATCATACAAAGATGAAAATAAATATAACCGTTGGAGGTAAAATTAAAAATTGATTGGTAGTAACATTTGTAGTAACCTAATTGATTGTTATAATATCCTACCCCAAAATTAAATTGGAAAAACTTAAATTTAAAAAAAAAAACTATTTTTACATCATATTTTAAAGGTGGGTACTTACCCCTTCTCCCCTAAGTGCATCCGCCTCTGGATATATGTCATTAATTATGTGAGCGAAATAGAAGAAAAAGAAATAAATAGCGATGATAAAAATTACATCTAAAGGCTTGTTCCTAAAATGGGGCAATTGAAGTAATAAATAATAATAATAATAATAATAAACCTACCTTCTTGAAATCAGTTGAATGACAAGCAATATAAGTGCTTCAAAAACATCATATTCTAGATTTGCTAGGTTCCTTTGGGCTTAAGCCCAACAACATGGATCAAACCATTATCTTAAGCATATTTATTTATCTGCAAACACTTCTATATTTCGTTTTATTTTAAAACTATTTCGAGCGTCATAAGATCTTTATAAATTAATAAATAATAATTCCTACCCTGTTTTCCCCGATGCAGTATCATGATAATAGAATAA